TCTCTCTCTCTCTCTCTCTCTCTCTCTCTCTCTCTCTCTCTCTCTCTCTCTCTCTCTCTCTCTCTCTCTCTCTCTCTCTCTCTCTCTCGTTTTCACACCACTCTTGCCCCTAGTTTCTCAGAGAGATCAGAAAGTTCCTCTCTCTCTCTCTCTCGCTCTCGCTCGCTCGCTCGCTCGCTCGCGTGCGCGCGCGCGCGAACACACACACACGGGCACACGAGGGTGTTCAAACACGAAAGAAACAAAGCCTCGTTAATAAGCAGGTGACGGATGACAGTCTGTTCATAAATCATGATTGGCGCAGTGTCAAATTTAGGGTTTGACAAAGCTTAAACGACTATTCCTAGAGAGGAAATGCCGCCGGCGCATCAGTTTAGCGCTACGGAGGCGAAGTGACTCGTCGCACAATTCTCTGAAACAGAACCGAACCCACGTCGACGCACACGTGTTCCGAATGTTTGACACGTGTTCCCACCTTGCAACACTTGTCCCCATTGTGCGACGTGTTTCCTTGCGACATGTGGACACGTGTTTCTACAACCCACTTAGGTCAAGTACCCATTGTCGGGCACGTGTTTCCCTGCTACAAGTGGACACGTGTTTCTGCACTGCCACACGTATTCTCACAAGCGACAATTCAGGAAATGAAGAAGGAAAAACGAAAGAAAAGAAAGCAAATGAGAAACGCGAAGACGAGGACGACACATACATGTACCTCTCGCAGCGTGGACGGAAAGGGCAGGTATAGGTAAACACGAGTAGAAGGAGAGGAGATGGATCGGTGGACGGAGGGAGGGAGGGGTGGGGAAATTGACATACGGAAGGATAGTTGGATAGTTAAGAGGATAGGATGGTGGCAGATTGGATCCGCAGGGACGGACACGTGGATGGGTGCATGTGTTGACACGTGGATGGGTGCATCCGTTCAGACGTGGACGGGTCGATGCGTTGACACGTGGCTGGATGCATTGGTTGACACGTGGACTGTGGAATGCACATGTGGATGGAGGAACCGATGGCCATGTGGATGGGTGCATGCGTTGACACGTGGATGGGTGAATGTGTTGACACGTGGACGGTGGAATGCATATCTGGATGGATGGACCGATGGACACGTGGATGGAGGTAATAGAAGGATGGAGACGATTGAATTCCTGTGGACAAGACCAGATCTACTTGCTCAAGTTCATTGCATCGAGACGGATAGAGCGGCACCGACAAAAACAGGCCAAAGAAAGGGATGCAGAATGGACGAAGATAGGAACGAAGGGGCGAACCTTAAGCTTCGCTGGAGTCTTGCCATATTCGGTCGAGAAGGACGAAACAACGGCCGTCATATCTCCGAGGAGCCCCATGGTTAACAGCTGAGCTAACGCGGAGTGTATGGCCGCCAAGCAGAGCTTGCAAAAAACACCGAAGTTGCCGATTTCCTCCCTGGATGTACAAACGCCCGCCTTTTCTCTCTCTCGCTCAACGCTCAACAATCAACAAAGCTACCACCTTCCTCCGCTTTCCTTCCTCGCAAGCACCCCCCTTTTATCAATCGACGCAGGTGCGATCTCGGTCAACGTTGAGAGCAGAGGCAGAGAGGTGTCATCGATAACGACCAGCGCTGAGAGCAGAGGCAAAAGGTGTCCCGCGCCGTGCAAACAGAGCGATGCTTCCAAAGGCGGGGACTTGGGACAACCTGCCACGTCCGCTGCAATTGTCTCTCCCTGCTGGGCGAGCATAAGCTGTCGTCTCCCGTGGAACACCTTCCGTGGGCGGGCAAGACACCCTGCGGCTGGCCTCCCGCGTTGTTTTTCCGTCGGAACCCTCAGACATTGCTTCGCCCGCCAATTTTTTTCGTCACAGGAACGGACCGCCGTCCTCGGTCAGTTGGGACACCCACGAACTCTTGTAATGCCGACCTGTGTTCGAATCTGTAGAGAACAAGATGAATGGACTTTGTGAATTTCCTGGGGTCGGTCAGTTTGACAAGATCTCAATGGCGAGGACCCGCGGTCCTCGGACCCTTCGAGGAGTCAAGAGAAGGCGGACCGAAAGGGTTTTTCTTTTTTTTTTTTTTCTTTTTTTTTTTTTTTTGGAAACTCCATGGCCCCACCCAACAGGTCCTTGGGCGAGTTGCAAAAAACGCCGCAAAACACGCCACCAATGGGTCTAGCTACCCGTCTCCCGATGAAGATAACGCACCCTCAAAATCTCAAAGTATACAAGGAATGTTTCCGGCTGGGATACAGTCAGAATGAGGGTGCGTTGTGTTCAGGAGGAGACGAGTAGTTCGATAACGCACGGAAGTTGCATTCAGAAGGTCATAGCTCTCTTCTTCTTAAAAATAAAAAAAATAAAAAAAAAGGTCATAGCTTCGAGTCACCATGCCCTCGTGCGCACCTATCCATCCTTTGTGCTTTGCCATCTGCAGATGCCCTTGGTACCTCCTACCGTCTTCCCGCGAACATAACGCACCCTAAAAATGAATGTATACAAGCTATATTTCCGGTCAAATACAGCCAAAATAAGGGTGCGTTGTGTTCGGGGGAAGACGGTAGCCAGCAGGACAGCAGGACGTTATATGACCCAAAACAATTCCCTACCACACACCCCTAATGTGAGTCAAACAACTGCAGGCTATGGTGACAGAAGGTCGCCAGCAGACAAGGCAGGCATGATCAGTGAGGCAGACAAGCTGAAGCAGGGAAAGGAGAACACCCACTGTTATTTCGTGTAAGAGGAATGGGCAGGCAAGTGGGATCGCAAGATAAAGCGGACATAGAATCACATGGAGAAATAGACAAGCAGTGTACCATGGAATTACATACCACCCTCCTAACAGTAGTCTCCAAGAAGCCCCAACAAACCGCCTAAGAAATCTGATCCTAAGGTTCATCGACCTCTCCTCCCAAATCAGTTTGATATCGAATAGGGACATACAAGACACGGTCCTGCACATAAGCAAAGTCCTAGAAGAGCAAGGCAGAATAAGAATGTTGTCCTTCGGGACATCCGTTTAAATTGGAACGATGCAGAGAAGATTCGAATGGCCCCTGCGCAAGGACGACTCAGACATGCATGAATAGAGAATAAGGATGTTGTAACCCTGATCTTTATTGACTTTGGCAAAGGCCTATGACCAGCTCAACTGACTATTGTTAGACCTTGTTGAGAAGGATGAACTTGGGGAAAACCTTCAGAGAACGGGTGTTGGTGCTTCAACACAAAGCCATTATTAGGGTGCAAGTCAAAGACCTACTAGCCCTTGAGTTCCCATCCAGTGCTAGATGAGACAAGGGGAACTCTTGGAATCCCCCCTTTTCGTCATGGTGTTGAAAGCCTTGGCAATCAACTGAAGAGAGAAGAAAAATATCAAAGGTGTAAGCGTAGCAAGCCTCTCGAATGATGTGATTCCCATTAGCTCCCCCTGTGTCAACGACCTGATAATCATTGCACAAGTAATAAAAGCGAACATGGCAAGGTCAAATTCCTTTTGAACCAGGTTTGTACCCTCTTTGACATGCTGGTCAATAGGGGCAGAAAAACCGAGGGATGGTGGATAGCATTCCAAAAGGGTAGACCATCAGCGCACCCGGGAATCCAGTGTGTTGCTAAATGATCCTATCCGAAAGCAAACTCTGCCCCAAGCAGAGGGGTCAATGTATCCCCCGATGTTTAAGCTACCCTCTTGAAACACCATAAATCACCCATATTCAAAAGGGTCGTGACATGAAATAATATAGCCCAACGTCTCTACACTACTGCTCGGTCGATGGAGTGCCTTCTTGAAATAGAGGTATTGTTTATTTGAAACCCCTTTTGGCCTAACCATGAGGCTCACTATGCTATCAACGTACCTACCAAAGAATGATCTTGGGCATCACCATGCTATCAACAGTGGCCTGAAATATTGTTATTCATATGATGGCACAAAAATACCTCTTCATTCTCAATCAAACTTCCGAGTTAAACGACTTTGAGTTAAAGTGTTTTTGCAAGCTTCTCCTTAGCCCACTGACTGTATCGCGGTCACTAATGCTATAACGAAACACAACAATGGTCCCGTAATCAACTAATGGAGTAAAAAATTTTACATAGCTAATGGCACAATGTTGTTCCATTTGGAAGGTGGCTAGGTCCACTAGACCAAGCAACTCTTTGTGTAACTATATTCAACAATTGATTTGGAAATGTGCCTAGTACCTCGGAGTCAACTCATAGAAGTATGTTATCTACAATAAGGGGTTTGGTGTGTTTCTGAAGGTGAGCACATAGATTGTCCTTAGTCGATTGGTCCTTGAGGGTGGTGTGGGCCTACAGTCTACAAAATACTTTATATGTGGTGTGAGTTGATGATAGTCAACATTAACCCTTGTTGTATATGAGGGTTGTTGTGTAGGTACTTTCATCTTGCCTCCGTTGCATGTGTTTCTTCTTGCCTTGTGGCGTTTTTTTTGGCTTTGTCACATGCCCATCTACCTGTTTTTTTATCCTTTTACCTCCCTACTATGCTGACCCTATTACTGATTTGTGCACCAGTTGACATTTTTCCACTAGTAGCTGACTCGGGAGGGTTAGGTTGAAAATAGTGGTACCCTGTTTTTTTTTTTTTTAATTTCATGCAACGATAATAATACCAAACCTTACAATTTGTTGACCTCACACCGGAAGAACAACGATCTGTTAGTCAATGTAGACCAAATATTGCTCCTTATCAAAAGGTTGTCTTAAGACCATTTTGTGACACATGAGGCGGTCAAATACCTCTCACCATAGTTTTTTTTTGTTTTTGTTTTTTTTAACTTTAATAATTCAAGTAAATTTGTTTGTCCCCCTGCTTGCCTGCCCCCCCCCTCGTTTATATTGGATCATATTGATTCCTTTGCTTGTTATCCTTCAAGTTATTGTTTCCCTTCACCTAGTGTTGTCCCTCTTTATCTTCATCCATCTCATAGGAGACGACAAGTAAAGATGATGAGAGGTGTATGATCAAATGCGAAAAGGATGGGCAAGTAGGGAACGTATACTAGTGACAAATAGGTAACTAAATTGTGTCAAAGACATCAGAATGGTTTCTAACATAGTGTGAAAATATACGCGGGATGTATGGTCCTCCCTCTCAACCTCAACCCCTCATTGGTGGGAGGTGTGACTCTAGTTAAGTCATGGCAAATACCATATGGTTAAGCTGAACGGATACGTTAGAATGGGCACGGCTCAGCAAGAATGCATAAATGGGGAAAAAAATGCTTCATATATTTATCCTTGATTATTTGACATTATGCAAAGGTCATAACCTCGAGAGTTTCACCCTTCGCAGGTGAAGGGAAAAACACTGTTGTGTTATATAAAGTGAGATAGAGGAGGTGGATCTCATAGATGAGATACCACTTCATGATATTCATATTTTCATAAAAAAATATATATATGTTTGTTTCATTTCGTAATATAAAAAACATATGTGAGAGATCTTGGGTTTACGCCACTTGACTTAACAAACTCACACTCAGCTCTACGTGTTAACCAAAACTTATGTAAGTATTTGCAATGCTTTAAGGCGCATATCCAAAATGTAGATAAGGGTTAGGCTTTGTGCATAATGTTGGGTGAGGAAGAAAAAAAACAAGCTCAAAAGTTTATACCACCTTTACTTATAGTCTTATTTCTCCCAATACAACGAAGCGAAGCAACACACTACATTTTTTTAAATACTCGATGATGACATTATCCAAACATATTCAGTAGGTTGAAACCCGAGGGACTTGATGCATGACATTCGGCGTCGGAGAAAAAACTTTCAAACGTGTGTCAGTTAACATGCCAACCATTTCATAGATGTAAAGTTTGTCTGCACCAAGTTTAATTTATTCATGATAAATCATTGTACCACTACTACCACATACTATATAGTACGAAAAGGTAGTGGTGGTTTAAACACACGGGGGGGGGGAAAAAATGTTACTTTGACAATCATTATTATGGGTTGTGCAGTATTCGATGGTATTGGTGGGGAGCGACGCCAGATGACCAATTTCATTGTTACATATATGTCGTTACAACTCTCAACCCTTGATAAATTGTCAATGCATTATTATATTGAGTATGTTTGGGAGTTAAGCAACATCAAGATCCGCAACGAAATTATGTGTCACGTCGCTTTTTTTATTAAGTCAACCATCATCCAAGCATACCACTATCGGTAGATAAGGAGACATTTTTTATCTTAAACCACCACTACCCCCAAGCCTGTTTTTTTCAACCTTGATTTTCACTACGCACGGAGTTCTGCTGAGCCTGGGGACCGCTGTGTTTCTTTTCTGGTACTCTTATGAAAATGAAAAAAAAAAAACACGGTCATACTTATAAAAAAAACATACTCACAACCACAAAAAGGAAAAAGAAAAAAACAAACACCCCTTAGAACATGATACAAGGTAGATACCTGCCCCAAAGTTATTGTGTGAGTATGCCCTCAGTGAGGGCGTTACAACAGAAGTGTCAGGTCCACTAAAAAAAGGAAGATAAAAACAAAAACAATTCAGGGCGAAAAAGCGGGTCCATACATAATGCAAAGTTGTATTGTGGGCATGTCCTCCTTCACAAAGTGTTAGCAGCCCGTGGACTGCGCCATACCGCCCTGGAAGGGCAAGTAAAAAAAAATAAAAAATAAAAATAAAACGTCAGTAACGAAAACCGGAGACATGTCATAATCGTAGTTAGATACTTTCTTGTGAGCATTGGCGTGAGCA